TACTCCTTTAATCATCGCATGGACCTTAAAATATATCTATAATCGTATGTTTTGAGATCAACATATCATCAATTTATTTCAAATAAGCTCAGGTGAGCATTTTGGCCAAAATGCTTCTTTAACTAATTTTTTTTTGCCCCCTAAATATTTCAGCTTTAATCAACAGGGAGTCATTTTTCTACGAGGGTCATTTTTCTTCACGTTGGTTCTGAAAATATTTAGGGTGGTGACACTTTTTCTACGAGCAAAAGGGTCACTTTTCTACGTCGAATAATAACCAGGGGTCATTTTTTGCTGTCGAAAACTGACCCCAGGTCATTATTCGATGGGGGTCATTATTCGTTTTTACACGTATTAAATGAAGTAGCACAAAGACATCTACAGGTGTAGGTACCAGGCCATGTAACAAATAGACTTCAACAAATTAACAAACAAAACTATATGCTGATGTGAAAAGCAAGAGGCAATAAAAATCATACGAAGTTGTCATCCTAACAAGTAGAGTAGAAAATGTTCAAGAAATGACATCTGAAAAAAAGAAACAAATACGTAGATCAGAGAGTATATGTCGACATGAGACAAGTTGAAAGACAAAATTCTACAGCATCAACATCAGACCAAGTAGACCACGAACAACTGCAGGTATGATCATTAGACCACACAATAAAATGATATGTCATACAGCAATCAGACACGTTGGAAACAAAACAGACATTGGTAGTATCAGCATGAATGCAAGCAAGAGGAAGATGAGGTTTAATATTTCTACCACTTCTTTCAGAGATAAACGTAGAAAAAAAACTAGAGGTACTGTCACCGATGAGCTCACTAAATGATACCCCCCGCCGCCATATAGTTATATACGGACTGACAGACGTACAGACGGACTGAATTAACGATTACTATATACCCTCCCGCTTTTCAAGCGGGGGGCTAAAATAAACAAGAGAAAAAAGGTAGAGGGATATGGAGATAACGAACATTATTCAATCTCAAAGTTTATAAAACAATCGTGATTATTTGATTTTATATCAAATAGTCAATATTAATTTTGAGACACCATGTTTTGATTGTTTAAACTATGTATATGTATGAGTTTTCTCGCAAGCTGAAACTACGTACGAGCTAGTTATATTTGATATCCGGTACACCTGCGGAAAACCCCACAAGATTTTTTTTTATCTTAGAAGCAGAAGCATGCCGCCTGTATAAACCAAAGACACAAATTACAATCGAAAGAGGCCGATGGGTTCGCCAGCTCGGGCAAGGGGAGAAAAAATCGTCGCACTCGAAGCTCCGCTGAGGCACAGTCACAGTGTCTGGCGAAGGTGCCTGTTACCGAGGTGTCCCAAGGCTAACACCCCCCCCCCCCCCCCCCGCAGACGTGAGCATGTCGACAACCGACACCCTGAGTGAGGCACTCATTCACATGGCAGGTTAACCACTGCAGCAAACTTGCTCAGCGGACGGTAGTTTGTTTTCAGTTTTCTTTCAGGAATTAGCATGTAGAAAACAATGATAACCAAAGTGTGTTTGAAAAGCATTGTCTTATGGGAATTTGGTCTTTTTTATGAATTCAATAATTAATACAAAATAAGAGCAGAGCAAACACGGACACCGAAACAACAGAGGTGGGATCAGGTGCCATGGAGGAGTGAGCATCCCCTGCCGACAGGTCACACCCACCATGTGCTCCTTGTCATGATCAGGAAATAAGGGGAAAATCCGTCGTCAATTCAGTGTATAAATCATGGATTAACAATTGGTATAAAAAACGTCAGTCAGGATTTGACTCAATGATAAATTGTATTTGCTGACAAGGTCATTGTATCGACCATAGAACTCATGAAATGATGACTTTAAACGAGACTGCTGATATTCTTGTTTCATCAACTTGCTTGTCAATAATTTACCTCGTTTCAGAAATTGTTCATACGTAGTGCATGCTCTTGCGTATCGAATCAACTGAGATATATATACTCCGTATGCAGGTGATGAAGGTATAATTCTGCCTAAGTAAGGGAAGTTGACGATAGAAAAGTTTTCAAACGGCGGAGTATCCCCACGCAAAGATTATTTATAATTCAAAGAAGCATAAGGCATTGATCAGGATGCAAATTACCCAACTTCAGTTTCGCACAGATCTTCCACACACACCAACAAACGATCACATCTGATTGTTCTACTGTATATCCCCCCAATTCAGTTGCGAGTGGATAAAAAAGAGAACACACTTGCCAGTGACAAGTAACTTTACATCTCACAGAAAAAAAGGGTCAAAGTACTTTGTTAGCGCTGAGTTAGAAATGTTTTTTTTTATATATTTGTATGTTTAAGCTAGGAAATTTTCAAGCCGTGTGATCACAGGCTAGATATCATACCCTTTATAATAAATTATTCAAAACATTTCACAAGAAATATACATTTGTGTGAAAACTCGGAATTAAAACATTTCGTTCTAATTTGTTATTATTCCACCATGAAAACATTGGGGAACGTTAAAATTGATATTGAATAACCTCACCGCTCTTCTATTACGTAGGAACACTCAATCACACCAATTGCATTTGCAAAAAAAAATTATATCAAATGCTAGTATCAAGTACCACTTTGCATATAATTTCAGAGCATCATTAATAAAAAATTTGTTTTTCATTAAGGATTAAGGATTAAGCACACTGGTGAGCAGACCATATAGTATTCTACCAATTGTTTTTATTTACCCGTATGTCTGAAATGGGTGACTCGTTAATAAGTTTATCGTGCTCAAATAGAACAATTTGAGCTAAATTAAAAAAAAATTATTATTATTTTCATTTTTTCTTTCTTTATGTTACAGAAAAAAAATACAACAGATGGTGAAGGCTGGACAGTGAGAATTATCCTTTAATTTAATCATTTCTACGATATTCTATAAAATGCCCATATATTAATAAGTCTTTCTTTCTCTACCATACTCTAGGAAAGATGCAGATTACAAAATTATGATTGATAGATTTATTGTATATTGCTTTACATCTCATTCGAGAAATTGTAACTCATATAAAGACAGTGAAGAGCTTCACATTTTAACCTTACGCAAGTGAGTTAAGGCTAAATATGGATATTTCTATGCAAATGAGCTAATAAAAATTCATAATTTGTATATTTTTTGTACAGAGAAGATTCAAATTGATTTTTTATGCATACTCAGAACCCACAGTTTATTAATGCAAAAAGCACATTATGACGTCATTATATGACGTCATTGTTCTCTTCCATTCTTAGTATTAATAAACAAAATCACGTCGGCGCAAGGGCATATCCTATCTAATTTAAAATAAATACTGTATAACTTTAAGGAGAATATTCTTAAAATTAATAAAATTGCTGCACAAATCCTGTGCACTTTCTCAATCGATAAAAAATTTAGAAAACTTACACTGGACTGTGAATTTTTACCCTGTTTAAACTTAAAACTGCAGGAATAGTAACTAAATAATTCCAGTGCCGACATTTGTGCAGCAATATCTTAAATCCTTGGAATATCCTGCGTCTTTTTATACCTTGTTTCTGTAAAAAAAAAAAAAGTAAGGTCGTGGGTACTAAGAATGTATTAGAAAAGAAGTCATTGCATTTTCTGTGCGGAAGGTAGAGTAATTATGGAATTTAATTAGATATTTTGCATAGAAACCTCTATATATAGCCTTAACTCACATGCGTAACTCGTCACCAAGGCCCATTCAGCATTGAGAGATCTTCATCGTACCACCGCCTGACGTGACAAGGAACTTCGGCTTTTAAGGTCTCATTCGAAATACCCGCAACTTTCACTTCACATGCTGAGTGCATAACAATAGGACAGTAATTACCCATTGTTTATCCCTAAGGTCAGTCGCAGCCGAGATTCGAGCTTACAACCTGATCACTGAATGAGTGCTCTACTGATTGTGCCAAGTAGGGGTAAACAAGTTCAAAATACTAAGTACTAAAAGCCGAGGGTCAGGCATACTACAAAACCTGTTATTAATTGAAATATACATGTATTTTTATGATCCATGTTCACATGAAAGAAACAAAGTTTTCTCAGCGGGCTTCTGGAACTTAAATTTAAGTGTCTTTGAAACATGGCCAATAATGTATATTTAAAATGAAAGTGCACCCCTCCATTTTACTGAGTATCTTTCAGCCATGTAAAATCATCATAAGGCATTCATCAGCAGATATTCCAGTCTGAAACTTTCTAATTAATCTAGAATGGACAGCTTTTTGAATTTTGGTTCATTTTTTACAAAGAGTCTTTAAATGAACCATTGACTATTCTTAGCAGGTCGTTCAGAAACAAGAAGATGACGACGTTGAGTTTTACAGAACTACGTAGGAGAGGGTACAAAGAGGGGTTTGGAAATGCGTCTAAAAATTACTGGATAGGTATCTTTATATATGTTTAATTTATCATCTTTGAATTCTTTTCGTTGAGTTATTTGATTGAGATCTACATTAATTTTGAGGACCAGATTCAGTTTCCAAAGTCAGTCTGGTTGTGTGCAAGTTTGGTCACCATAAGATTTATGTCCGAGCGAAAGATTCTTTACTCTTTAGAGATTATTAGAGGTGAGCTAAAATATATACACTGTAAAAATATTTTCACAAGGAAACAGTTCCGCATAACTAGGTATTTAAATAGATAATAAAAATCTTAAAAATGAAGCAAAATGAAGTCAAAAATTTTAATTCTAAAGGCTGTAGTAAATCAAATCATAAAAATAAAATAAAAAAAAGAGCTGTTTAGGAGTTCTCTTTTCCTTTATATTTGTAATAATTTGAGCATACTTTTGAAATTACAAGTGAATTATAATTGAAGTGAAACTTAACTTTTTTTAAGGGATGAAAAAATTTGCAATATGCATACTCATTTTTCAAAAGTGATAATTGCTTAAAGAATAATATTCCCCAGTATCCTTAAAGATTCCATTATTTATTGAATTGAAGATTGATATCCTGATAAGTATTTTGTCTCTGCATTAATACAATTTATTTCACCTCAAAATAAATCAGATTATTATAGCAATGACAACATTAGTTCACTTGCACCCGATAAAACTGCGGGAAAAATTATTCCTGTACCTGGGTATTGTGTCGTCATAATTTTGACTTTCATTACGTCACGCTATACTACAACGGTTGTAAACCTTTTCATATTATCAGCTGTGCGTAAGGGCAGTTTTCAGAAATTTTCAAAAATACAGGGAAAAAATCGTACTATTTAAAGAAAAATGCAACCTCGCCATACGTCACACAAGGCGGAGGCCCAGTTGTCAAAAGGAAAAAGAAATTTAGCAGGGAAAGCCAGATTACCAGGAAAAAAGCCGAAAGTTTCCCAAGTTACGACGCAGGGAATAAGCATCGAGGAAGTAGCCTCATCAGTATCGGAACTAATCCTCCCTGAATTGAGACAGACCATCAAGTCTATTATTACGGAGAGGCAAGACGCTACCCTGACATCGGCACAGCCGCAAAATGAAGCTTCGCCCGAACACTATGGATTTTCAACTAGTACAGTGGCCGCAGGCGACGTATCTGAACAACAGATTGACGTTGTAATTAATCCAAAACAGCCAGTGGAAAAAGAAGGTACTAATTTAGTTCCTTTAAGTTTAGAATCAAGCAATCTAGCTTCATGTTTAGAATTAAATAATGCAATAACAAGCGTTGACGATGACTTAGGTATGCATGTACCGCAATCTACAAAACAAAAAATTGTTAAAGGTGAATTTATTGAGTTGCACAGTTTACTTGATAGGCATCCAGTCAACGATCAAGAGAACAAATTGGTCCTAAATAATGGTCAGTTGTCTGTCAAACCAGTTAGTCAAATTAAGATTCTAGACATTCAAACATGGCTAGACGCATTTTTTATTTTCATGAGTATATACTTGGGTGCTCATTCAGAACAAGCGCAACAGTTGCTTAAATATATGGCAAATGTAAAAGCCGCTGCTAGCCTGTCAACAGGTTTTGGTTGGAGGGAATATGACAAGCAATTTCGTCTTAAGAAAGCAAGAAATGCTTGTATTCCCTGGAACAAAATCGACCAAGAATTGTGGCTTTTATATGTAAATTCTTTAAGTGTTCCAAGACAACATACACTTAAAAAAAAAAGCGTGTTTCGATTTCAATAACAAAGGTTTTTGTGTCCGTCCTTATTGTCAATATAGTCACAGTTGTTTGAAATGTACTGGTAAGCACCCTGCAACAAAGTGTCAAGAAACAAATCAAAATTCAAACAAACACCTAGTGTCTAACAATGAAAAGAACTCTCATCTTTTTCGTCGCTTCTGGAAAAAACCACAGTCATCAAATCATCAGAAAACCAGGAACAACACCTATTAATGTGAACAATATGGTTTTGTTCCTGGATATGTATCCAAAAACTTTAGATGCAATCGAATTAAAAGAAGGTTTTAATAGTGGTTTTAAAATCAAATATTCAGGTCAGCGTTTTTCATCGACATGTACTAATTTAGTTTCAACTTCGCAACACCCGAACGAAGTTAAGCAGAAAATAGACAAAGAAATTGCATTAGGTCGTGTCGCAGGTCCATTTGATCAAGTAGCCTTGCAAAATTTTAGAATATCACCTATAGGTATAGTTCCTAAAAAAGACGGGGGTTGGCGATAAATACATCATCTATCATTTCCCGAAGGAAATAGTGTTAATGATTTTATTGATCCCGATTATCGTACGGTTCACTACACACCTTTTGATGAAGTCTTAGAAATGATTGCAGCACTAGGTAAAAACTCATTTCTTGCAAAAATGGATGTCAAATCAGCATTTCGGTTATTACCAGTACATCCTTCGGATCATGAATTATTTGGTTTTAAATTCAATAACAAGTTTTATTACGATATGTGTTTACCTATGGGATGTTCGGCAAGTTGTGCCCTTTGGGAAAAATTTGCTCATTTTTTACAGTGGGTAACTGTCATAAAAACAGGAATAGAAACTTTAAACCATTACCTCGACGATTTTATTTTTGCTGCAGAAGATTTCAAAGTATGTAAATTATTAATGTCAAACTTTCAGAATACTTGTCGTGAATTCGGAATTCCGCTGGCAGATGAAAAAACTGTTGGTCCCACGCATTCATTGGTTTTTCTAGGTATAGAAATTGACACAGAAAAAATGGTTATAGGTATACCAAAAGAAAAAACAATTGAACTTAAGAAAACGATCGAGACAATTTTGGGAAAAACTAAAATAAGATTAAAAGAGCTACAGTCCTTAGTAGGGTCTCTTAATTTCTGCGCTAAGTCCATTCCTGCAGCTCGTGCCTTTAATCGTCGTTTTTGTGATGCCATGTTTGGGATTAAACATCCGTCTCATTTTATAAGGGTGAATGCAGGTATGAAGAGCGACCTACAGGTGTGGTTAAGTTTCATTGAACAGTTCAACGGCACTTTCAATTTTTTAGAGATTAACTGGCTTTCAAATTTCGAGCTACACTTATATACGGACAGCGCAGGAAATTCACAACTTGGCTGCTGCGTTTATTTACAAGGTCACTGGGCGTATTTTCCGTGGCCCACCAAGTGGCAGGATTCAGACATGATGTCGGATATAACTTTCTTGGAATTAGTTCCAATAGTTTTGGCAGTTGCGTTATTCAAAAATCATTTCCAAAACCAAAAAATGTTTCATACAGACAACATCGCTTTAGTATCTATTCTAAACAGGAAGACGTCTAAATCTAAAAGAGTAATGGAATTAGTGCGTCCTCTAGTTCTCCATTCAATGGTTAACAATATGTATTTTAAAGCTAAACATATTTGTGGTTGCAATAATTCTATCGCTGATTCTATTTCCCGAAAACAGTGGAAAGATTCCGGGCTCTCGCACCAGAAGCGGACAAAGATCCTGTACCCATCCCAGAAGATTTCACGAAGATGATATTAGAGCTGAAATAGAGTATTTAACGCTCAAGTCAGTTGCCCTTAACACGAAACTACAGTACTCAAATAGTTTAAAGATATTTTCTACTTTCAAGAATGAATATGGTTTAGAAGATATTTGGGGTCCTCCCCTTTCTCTCTTGTGTATTTACATTGCTCACATGGCCCTTCGAGATTTAGCGTACAGCACAATATCATCTTATTTATTGGGTGTAAGTTTTAAATGCAAGTTGACAGGTTCCACTGATTATACTCAATTACGGAAAAATTTTTTGGAAAAGCTTATACCAAGCTCAAGTCTAGTATGCTCCTCCAATTTTGAAACATATCTATTTTGCTCTGCATTCTCATTAGCGTATCATGCCTTTTTGAGAGTCGGTGAATTTACATGCAATAAAACAAATGACAATATCATGTTATCAGCATCAACGATATACAAATTTTCTTCGATCAATCAATAAAAAAGAAAATATTATTGTTAACAGTCCCTTATTCAAAGACTGATCAAACAGGAAATGGTTCAAGAATTCAATTGAATGAGTTACCTATGCAAGTTATATGCCCCCTATTTCATTTACAAAGATATTTGTCCGTCAGACCAAAAACTAATGGCCCCCTTTTTGTTCACATAGACGACAGTCCCCTTACCAGTTATCAATTTACTTCAGTCCTTAATAAAGCTATAAATCTTTTAGGTCTTTCAAATTCACATTACACTTCCCACTCCTTCCGTATTGGGGCTGCCTCGGACAGTTTTACAAAAGGCCATTCTGAATCCGAGATCATGAAAAAAGGTAGATGGTATTCAAATGCTTATAAAACGTATATTAGAAATCAGTGAAATATATTTTATCACAATAGGGCAAGAAAAAAGTGTTTGGATAGTCGGATCATCCATTATGAAGTGGGCTTTTCAACGAGCGAGCCTTTCACCCGAAAAATCTCATTTGGGTCTTAGACGTCTTAATTATCACATCCTTTGGCAGAGCAAGGGTGGCCTAACTTGGAAAAAACTGATTCCCCGCATTCAGCTACTACTAAGGTATGAACCATCACCTGATGTTTTAATTGTTCACTGTGGTGGTAATGATATAGGTAATGTGCCTTTACTTGATCTACGCGTAATGATGAAAGAAACAATTCAAATGATTCAGTCTAAACTTCCAAATACTACCATGGGGTGGTCTCATATTCTTCCCAGATCTTCATGGCGCTACAGTAAGAATGTTAAATCTCAAAATCTCGCAGTCAAAAGAATTAACAGTTTTATGAGCAAATTGTTTGTTGTTAATAATGGTTTTTACATCAGTTATCCCGAGATATCTTGGGATGCTAACGGATTATTTGTTAAAGATGGTGTTCATCTTTCCGACCTTGGCAATGACATTTTTCTATATAATTTACAAAGTAAATTGCAACAAGTCTGCTCTTCCAATGGCGAACGTAGGTGCCGGTCAATTTAAGCGTCGCTCATCCTCCAAATTTTTTTGGCGGTGGTTGTTCTCCCTTTGCTAGAACAACCATGTGGCGATATTTCGCGACGCTTTTGGCTTTCATAGATTTGATAGCATTATTATACTGAGTATCTGTTCCCAGTACCCGTATAATTCTAAGTTAACCTTTTCTGCCGTAGTTTATTTGTATTTTGCAGTTTTAAATTCTTCCAATATACATGTACATCAAATGCTGCTGAATTGACTGTGTGATTGGTATTTGCCTGTTATCTTCCTGTTTCATTGAAGAAGAGAAATCTAATCGGAAAAAAAGCTTTCCATCGTCACGGCGGGAAAAAGCAAAAGAACAGTGCTGTTTTAATTTTAAAAAAAATTGTATTATATATTTCATAAATTTGATAGCATTATTTTACTGAGTATCTGTTCCCAGTACCAGTATAATTTTGTCTATCTTTTTCAATCATAAAGCAAATAATGTATAATGTCATAATGTATAATGGTGAAATGCATAATGTATGCATAATGAATAACGTTTAATGATGAAATACATAATGTATGCATAATGAATAATGTATATTCATTAATAATGGATGCCACAATGTTTGAATAATGCATAATGTTATCTTTGAGGGCTCCACATTGGGACAGTGGTGAAAACTATAAGCCCTCAAATTGTTTATGTGGCATATATGTTTAATGTAATGCATATAATGTAATGTTTAATGTAATGAATAATGATTTTAGGGCTTGCCAATTTATCATCCGGCAGCCCTAGGGCCGTGGCCGCGTTCGCCAACAACAAAATAAATCCTATACAAGTATTAGCTTTCCTAAAAAGCTCGTCTGACGTGGTTTGCTTAAATTTAAAAAGCGAAAAGAAATAATATATTATGTTATATAATATTTTTCGTTCGCTAATATATCTTCAAGAAACCATGCATAATCAATATTGTATACAATAATGTACAAAGAACTTTGAATTGAAGCTCCTGGCCCCAGGATCATGAAACAAACTAAGACTAAGGTGAAATTTTTAATCTCTGATAAAATATTTATTAATTATGGAATTTATTTCTTCATTTGCACATAACAACATCTCTGTAAAACAATGTTAAAAATATCCCTAACCCTAACTCTTCTGGTCTGCTGGACTTTTACACCATTTTATTATAAAATAAAGATTTTGATCGACTTAGGCTTAAGATGTTTCAAGATCCCTGGTCAGCATTTTCAAGTAATGTTTTATATGAACTGATCTTTTATTCAACAAACAGAATAAAATAAAGGTTGTAAATGACGAAATCAATGGGAAGATCTTTGATCACTTAAGGATACACCAAAGGTTTCCGCAGGGCATCATTTCATTTGTTTGTAATTCTTTCATTAACAAAGATAACATACTAAAAGTATATATATATATCATTGGATCTTAATCTAAATTTTCATTTTTATCTTATTGAAACATTCATATTTTAATGTAAATATTGGAGCTTTATGAAGAGACTTACTTTTACATTTAACAGCTGACTTTTACATTTTAGTGATTGGAGTTTGTCTATGTTTAAATTGTAAAAGTCAGTCGTCAATTGTAAAAGTAAGTCTCTTCATAAAACTCCATTAATGCATTTATATTTTATTAATCAACTTCTTTGTATTCCACCTCTCAAAGTCAAAATTTTGCCTCAATGTAGCTTAAAGATTGAACTTTAAAACCGTATCTCCGATTTTTGAAAAATCTCCTTATTCAAAAGTTTCATTTATTTGTCTTTCAATGTTACCAATTTATTAGCTCTATTCTACATTTCCCCTAATAATTCAAGAACTGAGCAAGATATCGAAAATCTGAGATACGGTTTTGTGAACACACATGTGAGACACATTCTGGCCAGTTTGCAGACAAATTGGTCAATAAATAAGGGAGCTGAAACTATTGAAATAATACCACCAACTGTCTGATCTTACTTTACAGTAGAGGACAAAAACCCATTACTCAACAAAGTCTGCCAAAACTAGAAATATATGACACCTTGGAGATTCAGCTTTGGAAACCTGTCACTTATCAATATTTCCTATGCATATTCACACAAATGGGAGGTTCTATTCTTTATTTAGGTGTTTTTAATGAAGTAAAATTGGTTCAATTCTGAATCAGAAAGATTTCCCGGAAAAATGGCAAGAGCTACACTCTGTAAGCTCCACCTACTATTTCATAGTCATTAGTGACCTGTTAGATCTCGTTCCCTAAATCTAGAGTCCTTGTAGTTTAATTACTGATAGCCTCTGTGTGGCTAGTAAAAAATTCCCCAAGTGGTCACAGTGATTTATTGCTCCTTTCAGAAGCAGGCAGTTACAGAGCGAATCAAAAGCTTCAATAACAGCACATTCACATGTGTTAGTGTTTATGTTTGATTATTGTTAAATAATTAGAAAACCATTTAATAATCAGCAAGAATTTTTCATGCATTATAAAGCAGTGATTAGCATTATTTTCTTAGCCAAAAATCTCAAAATTGACAAAAATCTTAAAAAACCTTTGGTGTATCCTTAATGGGCGCGTATTACCCTAACCCCAACCCTGGCGATAACTATCTTGGCAGAGCGTTTCACATGCTGACCATTGCCCTGCTGTTCTTGAAAGCTTCCATTGCTTCTTAAACCATTTGATGTACAATGATTCCCTACTTAACACTATTACGTGATTGATTTATGAAATTCTGAACTGAAACATCTAGGAAAAGAAACAAAAAGATGCAAACTAATTTGCAATGTAATATGCATGATATGGTCCAAAATATAATCATTGGATAGGATTGAAGTATAACACTTCAGCAACATACATGTACATATCTATTTACAAAATAAAGTATTAAAAGCGAACTTGAAAAAGACATTTTTTTTCTGTGCTCACTGCATTTTTCTCAGGTACCGTATTATAAGATTTACAATACTTGGAGCAGGGCAATGAAGAGAAAATATTTGACCACGTGCCTGATGTTTAGGTACTAGTAATTTAATGTTAGGTATAATTTTAATGAAAATAAGCAATCAATAATTTAACCATAACATGTAAAATGATTTAATCTTTTATACACAACACAAAACAGTTATATTTATATAATAAGGCATTTCTTTATAGAGAACTGAACTGGGCATGTTCAAAGATGAAAGCACGGATTATATTAAAGATAAGATCATCCAGTAATGTAAATAATTTCCTCCTGGGACGAACTACATAAGTCTTTGGAGATTACACATGTATGTATGTATCGAAATTTCCACCATCGAACTATCTAAACAATTTCATGGAACGACTGCATAAATAAGCCCTGGTTAAATCTAGTACTGTCTGACGCCATGACGTCAGACAATAACTTTACATTTGCCTTCATTGTGTATAATAATAAATATTGTTATCTCTATCGGTGATTATCGATAATTATCACAATAAATCAATATATTAATAGTTACTTTTTAAAGATATTACATAGACAGCAATTGTGATAATAATAAGGTATCTCTATCCAAAAATACAATATCAGCTTGCATTTTTTGCTTTCATCTTAAAAATTATGTGTATAATGATCTAAACTTTCACTTCAAATTTCCGAGTTTTTAGCAAAGATTTTATGCTGCCAATTTTATAAACTTAGGACTGTCGAGACAAGCGGTTTTTGTTTCCACGGGGCGAGCATTCTACCGATTGAGCCACCATTATGGCTCATTTATTAATTTCTTGGAAAGTATTTTTACTGCGAAAACGTAGTGTGCGTAGTAGCAAAATGCATTTCGCTAATAATTATGTGACCCTGGTTACTTCGGAAAGAAATTGTTTGGATCAAAGTACAAAGTCTGAAGTTTTTCTTCGCCAAGGCGTTGTTGTAAAGCTCATACGCAGTGACGAGCAGCGTGAATGACGAGCGGCGCTGCGCTCGCTATAAAGTATAGAATAGAATTAATTACTCTCAGATGAAGAACACTTTTAGGTTGCTACAGTGTACCGTCAAAGTGTTTTCAGTGGCTGTTCTGTCATTGAATACCTGGGAAGACTTGTAGATGCAAGGAAATGTTTCTATTATTCAAGATTAAATCTGTCTATGTTTTTCTAAAAATGAAGCATTTATCTGCATTGACTGTTACATCCATACTTTGCATTATGTATAGAGTATGATTTTATTTATTGACTGCATTTTACCCAAAATGTCAATTTTGATAAATGTATTAAACCCAGAATATAAAACACGCATCACAATCAAAAGATGGCTCTCATGATAAATTCTTTATTTTGATTGAAATGTTCATATACGTATAATTATTGTTTTTACGTGCGTGTGTGTAATTTGTAATGTATTTTGTATTTCATATAAAAGATTGTTACAAAACTTTGTATTATAGCGTTTTTCTTACCATAAACTGTACATGATATTGACTAAAATCATAAATGTTTACTTATAAAATGATAGACTACTATGTAATCAATACCCTTTTATAAGCGACAGTTTAGATTTTCACAGTGGTATGGGATTTACCACAATGGATCAGGATAACGATATTAGTAGTATCCGTAACTGTGCTGTAAGATTCCATGGAGCCTTGTGGCATAAAGACTGTTACAGAGCACATCTGATTGGACAGTACGACACCTCACCTGTACGTGATGGTAAAGCCCCAATGTGGTATCACTGGAAATATTACGAAGCCCTGCAAAAGACTCGGATGATGATTAGAATCAAAAACTAATTCAAAATATTAATGTATTACTTAATTGTAATCATTCGGAAGCGATTTTGTTGATTTTATGGAAGTTTTTTTTTCGTACTTACAAACAGAGACAAGAATTAATGATTTTTACCTAAAGTCTTTTGCGACTTTTAGTTGTCAAGCTGTTTTGTCTTTGTATTCATTGCAGCACTGTGTCCTAGATGTGTATATGTTTTTTATTGAATGTCATTTACATTTGTAACGTCGGACATCTTTTTACAAACTCATGTTCTGCTTTCTAAAATTATTATAATTGTGAAATATATTCACTAACTAATACCTGTTATTTAAAAAAAAACGTTCTCCCCTTTTTTGGGAGAAGAGGGGTAACTCGAAATCGGTATTTTAATTCAATACACTTAATTTAAGTATGGTAAACATTCAATTTTGATTTAGAGGGTATCAAAATCAAATTCTCATGTGAAAATATATCATGATTTTCAATATAATTTATGTTCTCAATCATTTGCAAGCATGTGCATGTAAACCAACAGGGTTTTTTTTGGGGGGGCCCGAGTTCCCCTTAAACCTAAGCAAACTGAGACATTTTGTGTTTGTTCTTTAACGTCTCTCTCAAGATATTTTCACACTAATGTACGTCGGTGGAGAGCGGCTTTTGACAAAATGCTTGGCACTAGGGACGATGAGTAGCGACGTATTCTTTTCTAGCCAGCATCTTCTGCAACATGGGATCACGGTTTATACGATCTCATCCGAGGGAACAGTATCCTGGTCCAGTGGGATTTGAACCTGCGACGTAATGATAAACTCTTTACTCAAGTGGCTCTATCAATGCAGCACCAGGCGACTAGCCAAGAATTGGTTGATTGTATGTTGTTTAACGTCCCTCTCGAGAATTTTTAACTCACATGGAGAAGTCACCGTTTGCCGGTGAAGTGCTTCAAAGAGCAAGAGCCATCTTATGCAAAAAATGGCCCTGTACTTATATCAATTAATTAACTATCACCCTCTTTCCATTTTTTATATCAAGATAAAGTAGACACTTGGTGCTTTCAAGTTCTATAATAAAACTTTGTTTTAAGAATCCAAATATTTGAAAACAGGCTTTGAGAAATTGCAATGTTCTTGAAATTTGCAGAAAATATGCGCATTTGACTACCTTCAGCAAAGAATTAAAATATGAGCACAGCCCACGAGCCAAAAAATAATTGATCTTCAGAAATAGACCTTTCATCATGTATTGGAATATTTTGGATCAGAGGTTGTGCTCTATTTCAAGAAGGATATGAAAATAACGAACAGTATTCAATCTCAACATCCATTAATAAACAATATACAAAATAAGAGCAGAGCAAACACGGACCTCCGAAACATCAGAGGTGGGATCAGGTGCCATGGAGGAGTGAGCATCCCCTGCCGACCGGTCACACCCGCCGTGTGCTCGTTGTCATAATCAGGAAATAACGGAAAAAATCCGTCGTCAATTCAGTGTATAAATAATGGACTAACAATTGGTATGAAAAACGTCAGTCAGCATTTCATTCAATGATAAATTATATTTGCTGACAAGGTCATTGTATCGACCATAGAATTTACGAAATGATGACTATAAACGAGACTGTTGATATTCTTGTTTCATCAACATGACGCTTAACGAGCGATGCTCGACCTTCCTGTCTATATAAGTACATCACAATGTTTAGAGAAGAAACCGATATGTTGATTGGTCTTTGCTACGATTGGTCAATATATCGGTAATGCAACTGACAATTCTGATACGTAATTGCAAATTCGAGGTGTGCTGTCTTTGTGCACTTGTGAGATCTGTTTGCTTTCGGCATTTGCAATGGCTGCGTTTTGGGCTTACTAAGGATAACCCTAGAGGACGTAGGCTGAGTCCACTTTCCGTTTAGTCGCGTCTGATCGACACTGTATTAGCGAAATTTAAGTGGTTTTAAGTATTTAAACTCTGCATTTTTATTTCCGGAATATAATGGATCATTAAGGCAATCAAATGCACCAGGCTGAAAATCACTTTGAAAATATATGCTTGCAATTTATATGAACAGTTTTGTACCAAATAACAAGTAATAAGAAAAAGACACTTCTTAAGCATTTGTTTTAATTTCCCTGTTTTATTTTTCTTGAAAAATAACCAGAAAAACATAGCTTTCTTCGGAAAATATATAGGATACATCAGAAATGAAAATGTGTAAGTTATAGTTACATGTAATAAATATATATGTACTCTCTCTCTCTCTCTCTCTCTCTCTCTCTCTCTCTCTCTCTCTCTCTCTCTCTCTCTCTCTCTCTCTCTCTCTTTCTCTCAATTTTTGACTACACCCTGTAGAGCTGGAAATAACACCATTGAACATCTTTAACAATCTTACTAACTTACTACTTGTCACTTTGAATGAACAATTTTGCCTCTTTAACGTTTACAAAACTTTTGAGATATATATCAAACAGGCCCGGTCCCTTATGTTTTAAGGGACCCTTTTAGGGACTAATTCCAATTCAAAGATATCAATTAACAGAGCTTGTAACTCAGCAATACCTTCGAATTACTAGTATATGATTAAACAAAATATTCACAGGTAGAGAAAAAGGACTATATATGATAAAAGTCATTTTGGCCCCCTTTAAATCAACATTTTAGACTTATATATATATGTGTGTGTGTGTGTGTGTGTGTGTGTGTGTGTGTGTGTGTGTGTGTGTGTGTGTGTGTGTGTGTGTGTGTGTGTGTGTGTGTGTGTGTGTGTGTGTGTGTGTGTGTGTGTGTGTGTGAGGGTGTGTGTGTGTGTGTGTGTGCGTATGTATGTATGTATCATTGATTTTTATTTTTTAGAAGAGATGACATTTTAAATATTTCCAATACATTTTTTTTTTACATTTATATGTATACACAGGCTGAAATGATGTCAGAAATCAAGCAATTTTCTTCAATCCAATCTAAACAAGACAAAAAACTGGCTTTTCTTGAATTTATTTCTTCTTGGAAACATAGAGCGCAGCTTGGAACATGCAAAATTATTCTGTCAGTAATACATCTTGTATAGATACATCTTTGGTAAAAATATAAAGTTTGTTCTAGTTTGCACTCCATATTTTTCTTGAAGGAAAACTGCTTGAAATTAAGCAGTTTTATACAAAATATGCTAAAATGGCGGAAAAACGTTGAATTTATGATGTAATATTTCTAAATAAATGGTAATTTGATCAAATTGAAAATTCCTAATAAAAGTCACATACATTGCCATGCAAATTAAAACTATATATAAAGTAATATTGAAATATTTATTTTAAGGGGCCATTTGAGACACAATATCATATATTGCTCTTCAAAGATTCTCGATATGCCTTTTATCGGACCAAAGCGAGCATTGACACTTTTTACTTCCGGTGATAAAGAAATACGGAATTCACTTAACGAGTGTTGCTCTATCATCACTGTAATAAACTACCTTTGTTTAATTGTTTGTTGTTTTCTTTTTTAAAAAACGCTCAGACAAAGTGACTCTTCATAAATCACTACATAGCTGAAATCTCCGAACCGAAAGCCATGTCATCAAAATAGTACATTATCTAAGTTTTTTTAATCTTTTATCAGACGTACACGTTTCATGAAAATCGATCAAGCTGGTTCCAATAACTCGTATCTACTTAATGCATGTTTACATAAAACAATTATATAAAACAAACAGAATGGAAAGAAAGTTAAAGTATCTACATTACTTATTTGGTATCATTAAAAATGAATATACACAGTAAAACACGTATTTTCTTTGCAAATATGTTTGTCGTTTCTAAATTTTATTTCAATTCATTCCTTAACTCAAATATAAATTTCAAAGAGCCAAGCAAAATGAAAAAAATGAACTGAAAGGAAAAAGTTAAAAAATAAAAGGATGAACCAGATAGGCAGTTTAATATTGCTGAGTGCCGTGTATTATGCCTAGGTCACATTTCCCGGCCGGTAGCCGTAGACCGGTGGTAATCGGTAGTAAAGTATAAGTCACATTATCCAACGATGGGGTATACGATGAGAAACCGATGCGTTCTTTGATGAAAATGGCGTGCTTGCCGGCCGGGCACCACTAGTGATCGAACGGTGACTGAGTCTTTTTTGTGAATCGGTGGGGTCATCGGTTGGAAATAATTCGTAGTTAAAATTCAGCGATGTCTCCAACGATGCCTCACATCGCTCCTCATCGGCAACCCATCATTAACACATCTTTCAAGGATCGGCCGATGTATGGCCGAGCATCGTCCAATATCCGTTGAATCTGAGGTCATCGGGGAGTTTAGTGGTGTTCAACGGATAACGATCGATCATCGGTCGATGTTCGACCAAACATTGGCCCGTAGTTGACCGATGTACGAACATTGTTCACCAATGTATGAGCGATGTAATATACATCCGCCGATTATCCTGGAACATCTTTTTATGATAAGCAATGCATCGCTGGGCCTTTGTAAGTCCGGCCGGCAACCACGCCATTTTTCTCATAAAACGCATTGGTTGTCCATCGTATACCCCATCGCTGGATAATGTGACTGATACTTTAAGGACTACTTGGCCGATGTGGACCGATGTTGGGGCATCGTTAACACAACGGATTGCTACCGATTACCACCGGTCTACGGCTACCGGCCGGGAAATGTGACCTAGGCATAATCCGTGGTGTTAAAGATGCCCAAACATCGGTCCACATCGGCCAAGTAGTCCTTAAAGTATCAGTCACATTATTCGGCGATGGGATATTCGATGGACAACCAATGCGTTTTATGAGAAAAATGGCGTGGTTGCCAGCCGGACTTACAAAGGCCCAGCGATGCATTGCTGATCATAAAACGATGGTCCAGGATAATCGGCCGATGTATATTACATCGCTCATACATTGGTGAACATCGTTCGTACGTCGGTCGACTACGGGCCAATGTTTGGTCGAACATCGACCGATGATCGGTCGTTATCTGTTGAACACCACTAAACTCCCCGATGACCCGATGATTCAACGGATATTGGACGATGCTCGGCCATACATCGGCCGATTCTTGAAAGATGTGTTAATGATGGGTAGCCGATGAGGTGCGATGTGAGGCATCGTTGGAGACATCGCAGAATTTTAACTACGAATTATTTCCTACCGATGACCCCAACGATTCGCAAAAAATACTCAGTCACCGTCCGATCTCTAGTGGTGCCCGGCCGGCAACCACGCCATTTTCATCTAAAAACGCATCGGTTTCTCATCGTATACCCCATCGTTGGATAATGTGACTTATACTTAAAACAGATAAACAACAAAGTACAAAGACAGTACTGAAAAACGGGGTCAAGATAATCTTCATGCTAGAGTTCATAAATGTGTTTTTTTACGAGTTTTGATAACAATTTATTTGTTTAGAGCATACTAATACAAAACTGTGAATAATATAATTTCACATTCTTCATTTTATTTGATGTAGATATTTTAATAACTGCCAAGTATAGAAACCTTTTTGAACTGACCGAATTTCACCGGGTCCGAATTAATATTTTTTCGGGGTTTTTTGGGGATAATGGATGCAATCTCTACCCAGAGTTATCCTTCCACTTATACCTCTGTCAACGTCTAAAAAGTAGATCGGAAGCGAAGGGACGTGATTTTCATTTTCAAATGTTGTTTTAAATTGCCCACAAGAAGATATACACCTTTACATTTCTATATATGTGTCAAAGCTGCAAGTTGTTTGTCTATAAAAACTTAACCAAGATGATATTTATCGGCAATGCCTTTTAAATTTTTCACGTTGGTAATATCCTGCCGAGAAATAATCCCCAATAAGATATGGCGAAAAAGTGATATCCGATTCCAATTCTCATAAATAAATTTTCATTTCACATATCAAGCAAGAGTATAAAAGTTTTACATTAATAATTTATGGTGCAATAGTTAAAAGTAAGTTTTTCCAAGAATCTTGGTATTTAGACGTTGACAGAGGTGTTGTAGCGAAGCGAACGATTACTCTGGGTAGAGATTGCAATGGATGGTGCGTACGCGATAATATTCTCAGTTTCAAATTTTCAAGATGCTTCATCAATTTCAGTTATAAAAAAAATTTCATATCACTTTCTTCATTTTGATAAAAAAAATGTTTATCTTTCTATCAAAACAATTTCTGCACTCTTTCATATAGCGTAGATTTAATTCATGTGTTCTCCAAACGGCTTCCGTTTTGAGGCCTCTGACAGTAAAGTTATAAAGGGGGTCACGTGACCCCGTCTAATCACGTGACCCCGTCTAAACATTAGAAGCAATTTACATGTTCAGATACAGGGTAATCTTTCCCTTCTAGATGTAAAAGTCGTCTTTGTATGGATGGTTTCAATCAACTGTCTACAATGTGTTATTTTAAACAGGTAAGTCTGCATTATTTTTATACGAAGGTTCCTTGTATTCGAAATACAGGGACTTTCCACTTAACTTCATCATTCTTTTTATGCCAGTAGTTTTAACATCCCCTATGATATAAGTTATGAAAACAAGTATAAGCAATCTAATAAACAGATAAAATATATAAAAATAAATCAATGATTGGTTGATGAATTGCAAGTACGTGTAGTAGTTTATGACCCATTTGAGAATTTTCATCAAAGGCTAGACGTAACGCTATTCGGGTGAAGAGCTTCGAATTTAGAACTACATATGTCAACTGTATAATCAGCACTTAAAGATTATAGAGCAGAGGGGGTTCTTTATCATGTGTCCAGGGTGGTTAATGTCCTCTCATGTCCCGTCATTTCCGACCGAAACTATATTATTGTTCAGATTGACCATGACAAATAGTATAAAGTCAAATTTTGTATAAAAACCAATGACTATTAATCAGTATTACATGTATATAGACATCTATAATTATGCAGAAAAACATTTCTTCTCTCTCAGATATTTGACGCAGGAAGAGGTGGCTTGGTACATCGATCAAAATGGTTGTCGTCTAGAAGATCTAGTTAAAAGATATTATCAGAAGGTTCCTAATACAGGTGAAAAAATTAACATTTAAGGAGAGCAGTAGAGTTTCTTCCTTTAAAAAGTAATATTTATATGTCTTGCAGTCTTAACAGTCGGTTTATTTATTAGGAAATATATTTGATTCTGCCAAAAAAGATTCAGATTTAATTCAACACTGTTCGAGATATTTTATATCGTGCTTGTGAAAAAATACCTCGCATATTTGCCAGTGTTTAAGGTGCATAAACACAGATTTGAAGTTAATATTTTCTTTTTTTATATCACGACTTATAGATTGTAATGGCAATTCATACGAATAAAAATCTTATTTCATCTAAAAGTTGTTTAAACTTTAAATCTTTGGATGGATTTGATTGACACATCCTTGCACTTTTACAAATTTTAATTTTATTCTTAATACTTAGAAAAAGTGGCAATTTTGTTGTGTATTAATAAGAATATTAAACTTAAATCAAGAAAAATAATTATATTCAGTGTAGAAATGTTCGAATTAGCAAAACCTCTTCACGGGTATTATCATTCCGCGCTTAGTGTTTTTTTACAGAGTATAACAAATTGAACACACCCGTGAATCGTACACGGTTTTTGTGAACAGGGCTCGAGCTCTTTTATTGTTCATGTTTACGATTCACCGGGTATGTTCAATTGTTTTAGTCTGCTCACCGCGATTGCACAGTTGTCAATATACTCTGTGTATGTTTTGCTTTCGATCATTTTTACTCAATATTATTATATTGCTATATATTATATTAAATTATTATTATTATATTAAATCATTAATATTTTCATAAATACACATCATATTGCCACTTTTCCTACGTATTGAGAATTAAAATTAAAATTTGTGAAAGTGCAAGGATGTGTCATTTATTTTCCTGTGAAATGCTATTATAATATATATGTCGTGATATTATGAAGAAAATATTAACTACAAATATGTGTCTATGCACCTTTGAATTATGATGTTTGGTTTTGTCACTTTTGAAGCATCTCTTACTTGTGACATGTATACATATAATTTGTATTGAATGGTTTTTTTGATAGAACTACGTGCGCAGTGCAGATTATTTGTGGAAAATAAGAAGCGGATATTAAATGATGACTATCATGCATGGAGACTTATTTTGGAATTAAAAGCTGATGAGACTGTCTCATCCATAAGCAGAAAAATGGGGAAATGTTATATGTATTCAAGGGAGCCTACCAAAAGTTTCACTATGAGCTGTGTTATCTACAATAATAGTAAATGTTTTTTTTTTAATATATTCTATATAAGTACTGCTCTCAAACACGCTGATTCTGCAGAAGTGTTTTAATATCAGGGAAATGCGTCAGTATACAATATATGGTATTTAGTATTTTTCTTGTGCAATAAATGAGGCATTCATATATTTCCTTAAAAGTTCCGAAAAGCAAAATAAAATTATTTAAATAATTAGAGAGACTATGCATTTACTTTCAGCACACAGACATTAACTTTCCTTTATTAGGATAATCAAATATAATTTTATAGGTTCCTTCGGAGACATCTGTTTATCAAACAAAAATTGTGTCAACAATACTGTTTGCAGTATGAACAGATTTAATGGGAGGTGCATATGTCAAGAAGGGTTCAAGGAAGAAAATGAAAAATGTATTAAAGGTATCATTACAACTCTATTTTGTTCTTTTTCACTTATCATCCAAATCAAATTACATGTAACACTTCAAAACTTTCTTTTGTTCTTAATCCTTATTTATATTTTTAACTGTTAATCATTCTTTTTATCATTTGCATTGTACATTAATTTTTAAAAATTATTTTAAGGTATTTTTAACGTTATAAAGATATTTGTAAATTAACTGAGGCTCAATTATTATACTGTACGTGACATAATTTGGCATATTGAAAATTTAGCGTAATCACAGGGTATGGAGTTGCTGTCGTAGTCATAAATTAGCACTACACATTTCCGCTCAGTCTTTTGTGTTTGTGAATAATTTATTAGAGATATTCATAAACTAGCGCATATAAAATATGAAGCCCACTTTTTAAAGTACACAAACAGTTTATAATCAATACTCCATTAGTTTATCACGAGCGTGTATTACAAATTATTCCATGTAAAAATGTTTGTATATTCCTCCGATTATTTAAAGTACAAATTGTATTTGAACTAAAGAACAACAATGTATTTCCAAATTTCTGCAACCATAGACAATCTAACACTTGGGGAAATGTGTAGCGTCAATCGTCAGTGCAGACAATCAAATGCAGAATGTAGAGATAGACGGTGTTCTTGTAAAACGGAGTATCTACAAATTGAAAATAATTGTGTTAAAGGTAAGGAAAGGCAAAACAATTCTCGTGTACGTTTTTAAGTCGATTAGATATGAATAGTAAAATTAAAAAGTTGCTTTATAGTGTATCAAAAGATAAAATAATGTAATACTAGGAAATATTTTTAAAATGAAGTTAAGAACCTTGTGTTAAAAACCGACATTTGTTTTTATTTCAGCATAATTATTCACACCTTTTTCACACCACAATTTATAATGCTAGACCAAATTTATAAAATCTGTTTGATTTTTATGATACATTATATTCGGATTGGTCTTGAATTTTTTTTGGAAGTTTTTTATTCATTTGTGCGTTAAGAATAATGTCATTTTGGGCGAAATAATTATTATTTTTTCAAAAGGATGAAAAATCACATTTGAATAATAAAATTGTTTTACTTACAAGATTGAACTAGAAGAACTTAAACATTACTGGTCGACTCTGTAGATGCTTAAACATATTTTAAAAGAAATAAGTTTTGGTTAAATGTTTTTGTAGACAATTTTTTTTTCGTGATATTGCACCTGTACAGTCATGTCATTGTTCAATAAGGGTCTAAATCTTCGCAATCCCAATCTTGACTTTTTAATATTAGAAGAACCTTGGACCGAAATGGGTTTCCACGCTTTTCAGGAAGGCAAGAATGGAGAAAGGAATGCTATACTTTCTGGAAACTAATATTTCATCAAGGAGATTGAATTTTACTACATTTTCTTTGTTAAATCAAAAATATTGGTTTACTAACTAGATAAAAAGAATTTCTTTATTTACATATCTTTTTCTATTCCAAAAAAAAAATTTAAAGAAAATAATTATAATCTCTGTCTAATTTAAGACCTGTATCAATGTAGAAAATAAAACACTTGGTTCGCGATGTCAGTATAATGACCAATGTACAGGGACAGCTAATGCTGGTTTATGCCTGGGAAACTCATCATATCTCCAGTGTAGCTGCGACAAAGGTTTTGTAGAGAGGAACCGATCATGTATTGGTAAGTACAGGATTAAAATATTTACATGTAGCTACAAAGCACATGGAGCCAAAATTAATTAAGTAGTGCCTATAACCCATAAAAATTTATTTGTAGTTCATATGCATGTATACCTGCTGATAAAGATAGCATTTCAAATTTCCTGTGAATTCATTTAAAATGAGTCAGTTATACACATGTGTAGGTGGGAGTTAGAATGGAAAAATATATTCTGAAAATTAACATCCTGTACTTTCTCATTTATTTTAATTGTGCATAATTGTAGCCCGATGGTCAGACACTGTCCATTAATGAAAAGTTAATCTTTCGTTTTAAGTTGGAAATGCATTTCTTATACCTAAGAAATAAACATATTTAGTGCAAATGAATTATAATAAGTTAATGGAATCATAATTATCGAAATCTATTTCTCAAAAGTTGACATTGTGCACCTTCTAATTTATTTTAATTCAGATTTATTTTTAACAGGAAATTTAAGACTTGGAGAATCTTGCACCCTAAAGAAGCAGTGCCTACAATATAATGCAGAATGTAGAGAAGGACATTGCTCTTGTGAAAGTGGATATATTCAAATTGAAACTAACTGCGTAGAAGGTATTTAGAAAACTAAAAAAGTCTGAAAAATAAAAGTAAACTACATAATATATTATATGTATATTTTTTTTTAATTTATCAGTGATATTGCATTCATTTTCCATGTCAGTTTTCTTTTCTAATTCAAATTTCATCAAACAAATAATTTTTTTTGTTTCAAAAATTATAAAAATGTATGTAAAATTACTTTAATAAAATGTCTCTTTTCATTCATTTTATTTTATAAATAATGAAATAGGACATAAGGCCCTTAATACCCCGTGCCAGTATAATCAGCAATGCACAGGTACACCAGATGCAAGTTATTGTGTCGGTAATTCATCCTCTTTCCTCTGTAGCTGCGTTGTTGGGTTTACCGAATGGAATGGATCATGTATTGGTAAGTACTTGATATTTTTTTCGCATATTGTAGCATTATAATTGTAATTTTCATCGCAATAATTTTCATCACACATGTAAGATGTTTATGCTGACTTGTCTCACATTACTTCAATAACAAATGATAAATGAACATGAATATCTTACAAGTGATAGCGAAAATAAATTACGCAACCATAATTTTTTGAATTAGTTAAACGAAATTAATTGTGGTCTCTTGATCTTTAAATAGCTTTTGATATACATCTTTTGAGAAGGATGATAAAATTTATGATCTAAATAAATTAACCAAAAGTAAATATCAAATTGATTTAAAATAGGATTTTTCTCCTTTTATTTGTTAAATTGAAATATTTTTTTAATATATGAAGTACTTCCTTACAGTCAAGACATCAAAGGTCGTTAAAATGTACAAAATAATCTAAGAACATCTGTTTACATGTAATTGCTTATATGCCATGCACAGAGAAAATTACGTGACATTTTATAAACAAAAGCAATATTATACATTTATTGTATGATAGTGAGGGAAATATGAAGACTTATTCAGCCAAGAAAAATCAAATTCCCCGAGGGCTTCCCCCGAGGGGAATATGATAGTTCTTGGCTGAATAAGTCTTCATGTTTCCCGAACATTCATGCAATGAATTGTTTATTATACCGAAACAAGCAAAACCTTTGAAATAAAGCAAAACCTTTGAAATCTGACGTAAACCAGGCTATTGTGACGTCTACTACTCTCGGGAGTTTTCATTCAACGAACGAGAACTATATTGCAGGAAAACACACTAGGTCTTCCGAAGAGGTGGAATAAGATGAAAAGCGGTCCGATGGCCGGGAAATATGAAGTTTTACGGCCCGATCACGTGATAACCTAGAACCAATCAGATAACGCGTTGTATAGAATATTTATTTAGTTATGATTGGTTACAGAGTCGGGTGTAAATTTCCGTGCACACGACATGACCCGGGAGTAAATAGAACGTGACGTCACAATGCATACATTCTCTATGATTAAAACCAAATAACATGACGTCACTATGCATTGTAGAATGGAATTTTCTTAACGATAGAAACACAGTTGATTAGATGTTTTCAAAGAACTTTTATGGGTACTTAGGAAATAAATTCGTTATTCAGATCCAATCAAGGATGTACGGGGATTTACCCAGGGCTGTACACCATACACCATTCGGCCTTTGGCTTCAGATTGTATGGAATAAACCCGGGATAAATCCCTGTACACCTTTGATAGAACCTGGATAATTAATATTATTATACCTCATATAAATAAACACAAGTAAAGAGGAATCTGATTGGCTGAAGCAGTCACGTGACCGTCGTGTTCGCTCTGCAACAAAACTTCGTGTTTCCCGCATTCGGTTCACCTCGCCTGACTACGCTATCCTACATCTAGATGTAATCAACTGAGGTGTACAGAACGTGTTTCACGTCGTGTTCCCCGATTGTGACGTCACAATGCGGCGAATGCGATGATTTACTAGTATACTGAATTCGATTGTTTAAATCTTTTAATAATTATGTCGATATAAATTCTTTAAGTATAAATAGTAAGAAAAAGTGTTTCCATGAGTGGGGAATGAATGTTACTACACTGCAGTGTGTAAATCAGAATGACTTGTCACGAAGGGTTTTTTTTATGAAACGCTAGTGGTGTGACTTACACCTATTGGTAATTCATTTTGTTCTCATCAAATGTTAACTTTATTTATTGGATTCTCTTTATATCTTCTGCATTGTGCTTGATTCGGTATAATAAAACAATTATTGCATGAATGTTCGGGAGACATGAAGATCTCATCGCTCATGAAAAATCATATTCCAAGAGGGCAATGAATATGATTTTTCATGGGCGAAGAAATCTTCATGTCTCCCTCACTATCATGCAATAATTGTATAATATTCTTTTTTTCTTTGAATATATAATATATATACTTCTATGCAGCAAAAAGAAAATAAGAATCTATTGAGAAATTATTTTTGCTAATTTTCTTTTGTGATTTTTTTTGCTTTTATTATAATACTTATTTAGCTAAAGAATTGCCTGAGCATTCAACTCCAAACATGGAAGAGACTTTCTTTGACACCAAAGGTAGAATACATATAAATATTGTATCTTATATACTGTTAAAGGTTTGAATTTTCATTCAAGATTGCTATCTGCCAGGGTTTTCCGTACATAGAAAGTTCGTGGACAACATTGAAAATACTTTAAAACATTCATTTGATAAAGTATAAGAAACTATTATTTTTATTAAATCCATGTCTCTTTTTATTAATAAAAACGTTCAAACAAAAACAAAGCACATATAGTTATATTCTTATCAGATACAAAAAAAGACACACACTCATCCCCGGATATTAAAACGAAAATCCTCCACGTTACCCGGCGTAAAAGGCTTAATAAATTTAATTTTCCAAACATAGTCAACGTTTATCTCAACACATTTCTTATGTTGCTTTTACCATTCACAAAAATGTGCAAAAACTGTTCAGGCTTCATACGTAAAAAAAAAATACTTGACACTTCTGTGTCAGTTCCTGCAAATCATCAAACTTCTGTGCACGTAAAAACGATTTTATTTACGGAAATACAGACAAAGTCACGTTACGAAATTCATTTTTCACAGCGACGCAATCTCGGAATGATGGTCTTTCTTCACACATGTCACCGTGTAAGCTGTTCTTCCGTCCGAAAATCTTATATGCCATTTAATACTAAAGAATGGCTTCCTTACCAGTTTTCACGACTGTTTAACTGTTTACAGAATTAAAGGGCCTCTGTTGGTGTTTTTAGGATGTCTATGCAGAATTTTATCACTGCCCTTTGCTCCATTTTTTTCCAAAACGTCCCTTTATCCTCTTACATTATTATGTATAGAAAAAATCAAATATTTATATTCATTGATCTAACATTTTGTTGACTTTATTATAAGTTTAAGAAATTCTAAAAAAAAAAAAAAAAAAGCGGGTTGTTTTATTATCATCAGCAGAGATATAAATATGCATGCAACACTATTGGACCTTGTTTGCATCTCACCATGCACATCTATTAAATTTCACATTATTTTTTTTCCATAAATGTAATACTTCCATATCTTTATGAATTTCGATTAAAACATTTGAATTTGAATGTTATTGTTTATTCCTTCCACGTAACAATTAACGGTTTCATATTTCCAACTACTGTAGAAGTTCTTTTTTCCGCGTGGTATTAATTTACGCTATGTACGCGGTCACAAATTTTCCGCGGAAATTTGTCCAAGCGTACTTAATATGAATTAAAGGCATATAGTGACAGTCTATGAACATGATGAAATCCGCGTAATTTTCTGCACGCAGGTTCAACAGAAATTGAGAATCCGCGGAATAATGACCCCGTGGAAAAAAGTACGTCTACAGTATTTCTGTAAATTTTGATTTGCTTTTGAATACTATGCTATAAATAAGTGAAATATTTATCAGATATTTTCTTTTCAGACACAAGAATTGCCTTCTACATTGTTCTATACAAAATACTGAATAATCTTATGAGCAGAATTTTAGTCATGAATTCTCAAATTTGAAAAGCATTCTCAATTCTGGGTCTTGTGTGTGATAATATGAATCGTTTAGATACGAATTCACATGATTCTAATGTATGCCTATATGTTTTGAGCCAATAAAGCTAATTAATATATTTTCAGCTTTTGCAATCTGGTCTAACATTATCAGTTTAATATTTGGAGCTTCTGTACCAACACTTATCTTTGCTGTCTACAGTAGTAGACCGCGATCTGTTGAGAATCCTCAAAATCTGTAAGTGTTGTCTTTTATGCCCCCATAATTGATTACGACCGTATATAGTTTTTGTCCTGTACGTCCGTCTGTCTGTTTCTCAGTTTATCTGCAAAACAGTAACTTTGGTCGTAATCTTTTATTGGATTTGGTTATTGCCTTCATATTTCAAAGGTGCATTTCTTGTGACAAGACATTTTTGGGGTTCTACCAATTTGGATATCCTGACATTGTCTTTGTTGAGTTTCACCCACTTTTCATAAACAAATTCTGAATTCTAACCTTTGTCATTACAGGTGGTGTTAGGCCTTTATACTTCATTTGGACATTTACTGTGACAAGAACTTTCAAGAGCTATAAAAATATTTGGCCTTCAACCTTGTCATTAAAGTTTGATCTATTTACATTACTAAATTCCTGGACCATAACTTTTTAACCGTTTATACTAGGTCTTCCATTTTTCACGAGTGCTTTTGTTGTGACAAGACCTTCCTTTCATAGCAATAATTTTGAACTTTTGACCTTGGGGTTTAACTTGTAAGGAAGAAACATCAGTTTTCAATTAGCTGTCATACGGGGCATCAGAGTTTCATAAGCACATTCTATTGCTTTTTTGAATTTTTTTTTATATATTTGATATTGAAGCTTTAATGCGCGATAAATAAAAAAATGCACACATTAATGTGACGAGCCACTTAAAAATTTCATTCAAGTCTTAAAAACGGGGCATTTTCATTTTTTCACAATTTTTTTTCCTTCACTTTGCACACAAATTATTGTATTTAGATTGATGTTTGGGGTATTAGAAAAGATAAAGAAATAAATTTTTATTTTACTAAAAAAGCTACAAACATCGGTCTCCCAAAACAGAGGGCGTTACTTTGTACAGAAAGACAAATGATGGCAGGGAAATGGTGAGATTTTTTGAATTACTTGTTACTGGTATTTCATAGGATACTGCACTTCAGACAGTCTAGTTTTAAGAAAACATGACTTAATTCATACATTCCAGGGAAGAAAAACAAAAATTTATAAAAAGAGTGCTGCTAGCATTGAGGTTATTGACGAAGAAAACGATCGAAATCAAGACGATAATCAAGGCCCATGCCTCTACAATCATCTTAATGAGAAGGAGGAAATTGAAAGCGTTAGTGAAAACAAGTATGGTGCAGCTGAAAGGGAAATACACAATGACACAGAAAACACTTATGCTCAAGTTCAATCTCGCAAAGGCAATTCGAAACAATTGAATATTGACGATGTTTACATGCCAGTAACTCTAGAGAATGATTTGTAGAAGTGCATAGAATTTGATCATGCATGGTTTTTATTTTCCTTTAAAGAACATTGTCAAGGGAAAACGTTTTCTTTTTTAAAAAACTGTCCATACATTGGTTCCAATGGTCTGCACACAGAAGTAGGGCAAACACTAAAGACAGGTTCGAGTTAGTTACTGGACAAAAGAAAAGTTAGTAAAACTATGAAAAGGAAACTGTTTTGTCATTCATGCAAAAAGTAGGTTTTTTTCTCTACTTCTTTATTTTATGATAAATAGTTTTGATTTGTTTCATTATATCAACACTCGCACTATTTTATTTTATATTTTGCAAATAAAATCATTAAAGTTTTGATGATTTCATTGCCTTACAACTTAAAAAGAAAAAAGAACAGTATAAGAAATGATTGGATATGTCCAAGTGTTTTTCTTGCAGTAATTTTAATTAGAAAAAAGAAACTTAGAATAATACTTGTGATAAAATGTAATTGATGGTCAGAATACATACGAATTCAAGATAGTGCTAATTTAAAATAAGAGAGAAAACACAATTATGAACGTAAGAAAGTGGATACTTGTCAGATGAGGATGTTGTGCCAAGTACTTTAAATGTGTATTTATTCGTTTTTACTCCTCACAAAAGTATTAATTCTTATAAATAAAAAAAATTCAGACCTTCTGTACTACAGTAGATTCAAAATTCGATTATAAAGAAGTCCGATGAACTTATCGAATTACAACTTTTTTCAAATAGACGGTAGCATCAATACAATTAATATTCTATTTATGAGATGCTTACTACTCTTCATATGCACCTGATCCGACCTCTGAAATTTCAGGAGTTCTTTAAAGATGCTATATGTATAGATTTGTTTGGTGAATTATTTACGGATTGACCACTTTTTTACTGTTACCTATTACACTTAATGCAATACACAATGTTATGTCCTCATATAGTGTCTTATCAGTTTTGCCTAACCAATGCATGGGTCCAGGTAGAGAGTATGATCGGATGAGGAGTAAAATATTTACATTGGAATATATATATATAGGGAAAAAATACCGAAAGAAAAAGGGGGTCTGGCAGTCTAATAAATGTGCTTTAAGCATACAAATTGTAATGTATTTCTTATTAATTTTATAATCAGTGGTGGGTCAATGAGGTATTTGAAGTATACAGAAATCGTGACGAAGGGAGGATTCATAACCTTTATCTCTAGGACCAATTAAAGTGCTAAAAGAAACAATACAGTAAACACCTTGGTTTCCGCCTATAGACGGAGTATATCATTGGAATTCCTAGAAAATATATATATATTTCATGGGGTACTAGTAAACTGAACAAATTATATTCATTTGATGAATTAGATTGTTTAATTTCCCAGTTCCTGTCAGGAGGAGTTGAGATATTCAGGAACAAAAATTATCAAAATATTAAAAGACATATTTTACAAATTTGTTCGACAAAATATTTTCATTTTATTATTTTCTTGTTTTAGTCTATTACATGCTTTTATTTATCCACTTTCCATCATGTTATTTCATTATACTAACATTTAAAGCATTCGAGGTATTATTTTTCTAATTTTGCTTAAGTTAGTAAAATTTCAACCATGGCAAATATAAGCAATAAAAAATTGCGTAAAAGCTTTAGAAGAAGGAAAAATAACACAGACCAGTAAATGCCAATTGCTGATAAAATACTTACATACACTCTCAATAAAATTCATCGTGAGTATATTTATAATTATTTATCATGATGTAGATGTAAAAAAACAACAAATGAATGGAGAGATGGAATAAGTATTTAAGTGTCGGACTGAATTCTAGATTCACAAATTTCATTAACATTTTTCAAATTTGTTATGAATAATTATCTTTAAGAACAAGGAAATGAGAAAGTTTTTTGTATTAAATTAAGCATTTGTATGGATTACAGTGTATCAGCCACAACCGTTTAAAAAAATCCTGGGGTGAACAATGACATCGGGATTCTTTAAAAATTCTTTTTCGATTAGATACCTCACAATGCCATCATTATTTGCAATATAGACAGTCTACATTAAAATTTAAACCGTTGTCCCATGATCATGTATTGGGAGAGGATAATCTACTTAGAACCTTTCATGAGATATATTTCCAAGAAAAGATAGGACATCAGTCTGTACCGTTACCCTTTTAAACTACTGGGTAAATATAAAATTCGTCTATTGAAGACCATTTTTTAAATAGATGCAAAATTTCTTTTTGCAAAAATCGTACAATTTAGGGGAAGTTCCAGTAACAAGATTTCAATAAAAACATTTTTTAATCCTTTTCTAATCAACCTCTCTTTTCAAACGACTAAATTAGTTAGATTTTTTAAATTCTATGAGAAGAATTAATGTCAGAAAAGTTCGAAAGGCAAAAATTATAGCTATAGAATATCCTTGAATTTTTTTTATTTTATGTCGTTTTAAAGACATTTAATTAGAAGAAGATCTGTGGATCTGGATTACGAATAACAATTTGGAGGTTGCATGCAACTGAATCGTTTTCACATGTAATTATTTTTACTTTTTATGAACCATAAAACAGGTGCAGCAATGACAGGAAGTTTGTAGACCATTACAGATCAGATCTCGACTTTAGATTGACCCCTGTTCTCCTATTAAGTATTCTCTTCAAGCTTAATTCTCAAATTTCTTTTCATAGGTTCAAATAAATCTTCAATACAGCAATTTAGACATTGGTTTCTTTCATTCATACGACAAAATTCTTCCCGAACTGTGCTTTCTTTGTGCAATTTTGGCAAAAATTCCGAAACCCTCTTATTTAAGTACATAAATAGATTAAATAAGACATTAAAGAAGCGCCTAGAACGTGTGAAGAATTTTCATATTTTTGGTGACTTTTCAAGATTTAGATCAAATTAAAACTAAAATGTTTGACAAACGGTTTAGTTTTTACAAAAAGTAAAGACATTCATTAATTAGTAATTGAGAAATCTGTTTTTACCGATTTATTACACGTATACTAAGCTAAAATGTTTTCAATGATTGCAATATGTGACTTTGCAACATTTCCTACCAAAACATAAAATATGTCGTTGAAATAATTTATATCTGCCTTTGCAATTATAAAAAAAAACCTCAAAAGTTTACTTACAGAAACATTGGCTATTTGCTCAATTCTTATATATATATATATATATATATATATATATATATATATATATATATATATATATATATATATATATATATATATATATATATATATATATATATATATATATAATCTATATGTGCACTTAATCATAAGAACCCAGTTCTGTTAACAATTAGTCGGAATTTCCATGGATATTAGCAGACCTATTTTGCTATCATATGAAGTGCTTTTTCATAGATTTATACATGCGGTGAGGCAAAATATTGTTAAATAAATTGATGAAAGAAAAATGTCGACATTCTTTTTACAATCATTATTTCGTAAGTTTGATGGTCTTTGAAATTTTGTTGTCAGAAAATACACTGAAATCGTTCTATGCGTATACAGAATGCATACAGACTATTTTTTTCAATTTATTATGGATATTGTCCAACACGGGCTTTTAAAGTTGCCACGTCGGTTTGTTAAAGCTTTACATTACAATAGTAATATTCCTAATTATAAAAAAATATTCTTGCATTATATCATATTTCAAGTTGAAGTCTAAACCCTGTATTTTCTAGAGATATTCGCAAACTGCGCACGCTACAAACCTTTTTAATTATAAACACAATATACAGTGCCTAGACATTTAATATCTGGGGCTCGTTTCTCAAAAAGTCGTAGATTTGGGTCTAAGTTAGTCCGACTAAGAAAGTTACGCCAAAATTTAGTCGGGCCTAAATCACGTTTCAGAAAACGGCGTAAGACTGGGACTAAGACTAAGACCTTTCCGCTAGGTACTAAGCATGCACAGACCGTATTTTATTTGGTTTAGAGAGTACAATAACATGCGGCGGATCACACTTAAACCTGTTTACAAAAAGTGAAGCACAAAAAGCACGAATTTTTCCCTGGCTTTTCATCGGCTTTCAAACAAATATATTATGCGAATCTATCTGTATTTCCAAGATTAAAGCATTTACATACTAGCTAGTATTAGCGAATTCAGAAATCTCGACAAAAGGGGCAGATTGGGGTCGGGTTAGGGGCCCACACTCACACAAAAATATTGATTTAGCAAGTCTTTTGTTATTATTTTGGACACAACCCCCTCCCCCTCTACAACCACAACTTTTATATTAAATATCATATGTATTTTGGTATGCTCAGATAAATTTTAAAAGTGAAATATATACTATAGAAAAATATAAACGTGTATACCCGGTATTATACGTACTTGTCAAAATTTGGAATATAAAAGAAGTTTTCTTATGAGTAAAAGCCATAAATTATATGGCATGGGGTTGGAACAGGCTCGTAGCAATATATTTGAAAGTCGTGGGGGGGGGGGGGAACCAGTATCTCAGGTAAGTTTTTCTCTAGTTAAATACTTTACGCAGAGAGAGTGAAGGACCGGAGCCCCCGACCCATAGGCGCACTGTGAAAATTTAACAATTTTGAAATCATATATATGATAATGATAATCATTAAAACACGGATAAGAGAATTTTGAAGAAAAATTATCAGTTGTTTTAATTTTATAATTATCAATCCATTTATTAATTGCGAATTAGACATACTGGCATTTCAGTTGATACATGTATATACCTACTGTGTGTATTTACAATACTAGTATTTTGGACACATAAAATTACATTGATATCGATATAATAATTTACATAGTCCATTAAAAAATACGTACCTATATATATATATATATATATATATATATATATATATATATATATATATATATATATATATATATATATATATATATATATATATATAAATTTCAGAATCAATGATGGCTTGCAAAAGTTAAATTAGCTTTAAATCTATAATTCTTGTGAACCATATTACAGACAAGAAATCTAGTAATTTTTTATAAATTTCTCCATTTGAATTTTCCATTTCAATATTTTCAAATCAGATTCATTTAGATCGGGAAAGGTACTAATTTCAACATCACCATCTTTTCCTTAAATCTATCCATTCCTTTTCAATTTCTATTGAGGATATGTTCATACATTATTATTTTTTTTATAGATGCATATGAAGAATGTTTATTGAAGATGTAATCTTGACTTTAAAGATTTTAAAAAGTCGCGATTTACATTCACAATAAAACATTTTGTTATACCCTTATAAATATCATTCTATATATTTATTACTTATAAAAAGTCCAACAAAAGAACTGTTAATTACGTCGGTCTAACAA